AATTAATCTAGAAATGTTGAAATGCAGCTATCAAATTATATTATTCATCATAGTCATCAAAGTGGACAAAAAGCCTTCCTCTTTGCTTATTTGGTAAATATGTGAGTTGATTAATACTTCAAACTTTATCAATACAAGTCTCCAATATATCCATCAATGTTTTTTAATGCTACTTTGCTTTATGCAATAGTCAGGCAAACTAAAGTTGGTTGGTTTAGCTATATGAGGAGGCTTTATGTATCTCTTTATACATAATAACAAGTCAAATAATGGCTTCTATTAAATTCCAATGACATACATGTAATCCAGACTGTGATAATAATATTCTGTTAAAAGTCTATCATCAATGGAAATTCATATAAAATAAATCAATATTCCCATTGTACAGCCTCGTAAACGACTGAACACTATTGCAGATATTTTGCCAAGTCCTGTGAAGAATTTAAAAACTATCCTTTATGGTGAATGCATGTTGAATATTTTCAAGTTGAGTTCGATTTGACAGTCTCAATTATAAGGAGTTTCTAATCATTTAAGTGTAAGCAATTTATGTTCATATACAGATTCGATATGTGGTATCCATTTGTATTAAATATATGGAATCGTAAGTACAATATTACATGCTATATCCAGCATAGATGACTATACAGTAAAAGTTAAGGTACAACTTTACCATCCGAAATAATAATTGAAATACATTTTTTGCTGGCTAGCGTAAGCTTGACGTTGCGTTAAAACTGATTAAGTTTCCCTTTATAGCCAAACAAAAAATATAAGCCCCTAAAATTTTGTGTAAAACTTAATTGCAAACTTGTCTTCAGCTTTTTTATACCATACGGTATAAACCATATATGTATATAGTGTACTACTACACTAATATTCAACTTACTACAATTACAATATGAAACATCAAACACCATACATCATATATTTAATACTAAATATACTATAATACAATACATTACCACCGCTATCGTAATTCCACATTCGCTTTGATTTAATAAATTGTCGAATTTGTTGGTTGTTCTTCTGTTTTATTCATTCTTTTCACATTACAAACTATTCTTAAACATTTTCGCTTGCGCTTATACAAAAACCCAAAGAAACTTAATATATGAAAATCAATTAGCTCGATAACCAAAAAACGTTGAGGAAGTGTTATTATTTAGTTATCTTTACGTTTTCCATTGACCATTTTCCACTTTTCCACTCTGTTTGTTCTCTGTGTTTAGTGTTGGGTTTTTGTAATTTTTCGTTAATTTACAACACGTACAAGTTTTTATTCTTTACTTTCGTTTTTTGCTTATAATTAATGGAGAATATTTTGAGGGAGCTGCTCGATTCCAATTGGAATGAGTAGTTCGTCTTTGAGTTCTTAGAGTCTAGTGGGGAAATGAGTGTTGCGTATTTACAAGAACATTTGATTTGGCTAGTTTCACTTAAAGCTGCCGCTTGCTGTTATCGTTAACAAATATCAAATATGAAATGTATATCAATCAAAGTGCCAAGCTGCTATGCTTTTCGTTCTGGACGGCTATTGCAGAAATATGATAAACCTGGCCGAAACACACTGGCCCAAAACAACAACAATGGAAAGTGGCTTTGCGTGTGCCGCAGCTGTTCCACTTGGCCTGAATCGAACGCCTTTGTATGCAAATTAGCTGCCTGTGAACCGATCTCGTGCAGCTGTCAAGCCAAAGAGTTGAACTAAGAGAGTGTGAGAGAGAGAGTGAGAGGGGGAGGGAGAGGGAGACGATGCCTTATGAGTCATATGGTCTTGTTTGTTTCATTGTCTCTTTCTTTGGCTTTGTCTTGTTGGCTTGCATGCATGCATTTTGCGGTTTGCTGCACACCTTCGTTCGTGTTGCTTTGCCATTTTTGGCCTGTTTCTGTTTGCCGCTATTTGTGGGGTGTGAGCGGCTGTGCGGCCTTTGTGAGTCAAGCTTTAGCCAAAAATTAGCATAAGCAAATGATTATTATCTCTGCGCGCAGGCCACATACGTGGAGGGAGCTCTTTGAACATAACAATCAGCTGGAGTTTCGTGTGCTCAGCAGTGGCTTAAAGCGGCTTAAGACATTTTTCACAACATTTAATTGATACATTTGATATCAGGCATGAACTC